ATCCTCCTGCCTCTCCTTCCCAAGTAGCTGGGACTACAGGCATGTGCCACCATGCCCAGCTAATTTTTTCTATATATTTTTAGTTGGCCAATTAATTTCTTTCTATTTTTAGTAGAGATGGGGTTCTCGCTCTTGCTCAGGCTAGGTTGGAACTCCTGACCTTGAGCTACCCACCCACCTCAGCTTCCCAGAGTGCTAGGATTACAAGCATGAGCCACCAAGCTCAGCAATGAATGGTGAATTCTCTTTCTCTCTCTCTCTCTTCTCAATATTTCATATACTAACCACTATGCATGAGTTTGCCTCCTTCAGGTCCAACACCAGTTAGAAGCAGAGAAGGGGAAGAGAACTTATGGAGTACCTCTAACAACACACACTTCATTCAAATTCTTAGGAGTAAACCTTTTTTTTTATTTCATCATATTATGGGGGTACAAATGTTAAGGTTACGTATATTGCCCATGCCCCCCCTCGTACCTCGAGTCAGAGCTTCAAGTGTGTCCATTCCCCTAACCTTGTACATCTCACTCATTATGTTTGTATATAACCATCTCCTCCTCCCCCTTCCCACCTGCCCGACACCTGATAAATGTTATTCCTATATGTCCACTGAGATGTTGATCTGTTAATAACAATTTGCTGGTGAGTACATGTGGTGCTTGTTTTTCCATTTTTGAGATACTTCACTTAGTAAAATGGGTTCCAGCTCTATCCAGGAAAGTATAAGAGGTGTTATATCAGCATTGTTTCTTAAAGCTGAATAGTACTTCATGGTATACATATACCACATTTTATTAATCCACTCATGTATTGATGGGCACCTGGGTTGTTTCCATACCTTTGCGATTGTGAACTGTGCTGCTATAAACATTCAAGTGCAGGTGTCCCATTTGTACAGTGTCATTTGATCTTTTGGGTAGATGCCCAGTAGGGGAATTGCTGGATCAAATGGTAGATTTATTTGTATTGCTTTAAGGTATCTCCATATTGCTTTCCACAGAGGCTAAACCAGTTTACAGTTGACAAAATTCAACACTTTTATATGATAAGAATGCTCAACAAAGTAGGCATAGGTGGAGCCTACCTAAAAATGATACAAGCAATATATGACAAACCCACAGCCAATATAATACTGAATGGGGAAAAATTGAAAGCATTCCCACTTAGAACGGGAACAAGACAAGGTTTCCCACTATCTCCACTTCTATTTAACTTAGTGCTGGAAGTCCTAGCTACAGCAATCAGACAAGAGAGCAGAATTAAGGGCATCCAAATAGGAGCAGAAGAGATCAAACTCTCACTCTCTGCTGATGACATTATATTATACCTAGAAAACCCCACAGAGACTCCTTCAATTGATAAATGAATTTGGTAAAATCTCAGGATACAAAATCAATACACAGAAATCAGAGGCATTCATATACGCCAACAACAGTAAAAGTGAGAACCAAATCAAAGACTCAATTTCATTCAAAACAGCAACAAAGAAAATAAAGTACCTAGAAATATATTTAACTAAGGAGGTAAAAGACTTCTACAGGGAGAACTATGAAACACTGAAGAAAGAAATAGCAGAGGATGTAAACAGGTGGAAGAATACACCATGTTCACGGGTCAGCAGAATCAACATTGTTAAAATGTCTATGCTACCCAAAGTGACCTACAGAGTCAATGCAAACCCTATTAAAATACCATGATCATTTTTCACAGTTGTAGAAAAAATAGTTTTATGCTTTGTATGGAACCAGAGGAGTAAACTTGAGTCCATCATACCAGAGTAAAGAGGTGTCCCATGGAAGAAGTGAACAAAATCACCCAGTGGTTGGCCTAGCATTTAGGCTATCTAAAGTATCTGTTTAATAATAAGGAAAGTGAAAAAACTGATATCTTTGATAACCTTTCTTTGATTATTCGTCTTGTCTATGGGATGTAGGACAAATCCTTAGTGCGTATTTCCTGGTTTATCACCTTTTCTGCTGAGCTATCTCACTGCTGAGGTTGCCATCCTAGACCTTGTTTGGTGCCCTTATTACTGTATATGATTTCTGAATTTACAGAGGCCAATCTCTGACCACTGACAGGGTGCAACTAATAGCCCTGTGCTCAGAGGTCCCATGTTTCTTTCTTACCCAGCCCTGTATGAGACATCACATACAAGGCGACAGTAAAGACCCTCAGTCTTGCCAGTGCCTAGATACCAATTCAGGTAAAATCTCTCTTATCAGGTACCCTCCCTCCTTTTGCCTTGTCAATCCTCACAGTTGTATTTGTTGTTTATGTCCCTTATTACACCTGGTAATCTAGTATATTATTAATTTTTGAAAATCCGCCAAAACTTAGCGATGGCATGAATAAGTATAAAACTTCTATATAAAACATTGCCCAAATTCAGTAGGAAGTGGCTCAATGACTACATCCCCCTCCTCCCAATAGATACGAATGGGTAAAATTCATAGTGTAGAATATGTAACAGAGGGAATGGCCTGAAAGAGGGTAAAATGTTTTATACATTGTTTCTTTAAAAACCATCCCCACAATTTTTGGGAATTAAAACCTGCACCCCTGCCAAAAGCCATTCATCAGAGGGGAAAACCATGTCCTTTGTTCTTTGTACCACAGACGATGGCTCAATGGAGGTCACCTGTTTTGATCAGAGGTGGGGTTGAACAGGACCAGCAACCCCAAACTGGAAAGTCCTTCTGAAAGCTTTGCATTTCTGCTTGTATGGAGTACTGTGATACTTGAAGACGTGAGTGTGCCATACTTCTCATTTGCCAGCATATAAACTCCCCTTTCCTTCTCCTCAAACCACTTTTTCTCATTCTTCTGATGTAGCCTTGAGGACAAGTTCTGAATTTCTGTAACAGTTTGGTATCCTGTGGCTTCCACACTAACTCTGTTTTTGTCTATGCAGAAGCAGTATTATGAATTGGTCTTTTTTTTATTTCAGCATTTTATGGGGGTACAAATGTTAAGGTTATGTATATTGCCCTTGTCCCCAATCCCATGTCAAGTCAGAACTTCAAGCATGTCCATCCCCCAGACAGTGTGCATCGAACTCATTATATAGTCTTTCTTTCTCTCACTTCTTCACAGTCACTAAATGACCTTGTCTGATCTGGGAGCTTTGTGAGATTGTTTTTATCCAACAGGAAAATACCACTGCCCAGCAGTCAGCTCCAGATCACCTTCTGAAAACTCTGAAGCTTGGAAGTGTCAAGGCAGTACCCAGATGTCAGGAGCTGCTTTCCTTCGTACCTGTAAAATCATTACAGATAAGAAATAAATCCTATCTCCCTTGATAGAGGAGTGTGGTGGAATGAAACTGACCATTTCTCCTTTGTTTTCATTAGCGTATGCATACTGGATGAATGTCTTGCCTCCAATAGTATATCCAAGATCAGTATTAATTATAAAATATTGAATAAATATATGAATAGCCCAATTATTAAGAAGAACACAAGGAAGTACCAGGTAAAATTTGAAGTATCTGTCCCTGGGATTGTCTAAACATTGGACAATCACCCCACGACCCCTAAAAAGTATATCATTTATATGTTATAATTATTGTCAATTCAAAGGAAGATAAAATTGATGAGAAGAGGGATATACAGAAGGCAAAGTAAGTAATTGGATGTTATCAAATGAAAGTTTGTTTTGGCCCACCCCTTGGGGGACAGAATGCCCAGGCTGATTCTGCCTCAGCTGTACATCATAAAAATGGTAAGATCATCTTAACACATTTCCAGAAATCTGCAAGAGAAAAAAATATATTGTCATGAGGTTTCCACAAAGGATGAAGAATCTAACTTTCTTTTTTGGAATCTAAATGGATACTAAGTGTCAAATATCACTGAATTCAGTGGATTCAAAAGGAACCTGAGATTTTAAATCCAAGAAGATAAATGACCAATTCCTGTCCTTAAAGAATTAGGGTATGTAGCCTGACATGAAAGACCAAGTAAGTTGAGCAATCAGAGAGAAATGGAAGTCAGCTAATATATATGATTTTCCCTATAATATCGCACAAAGGTATCCTCTGATAAGGGAGAACTCTGCATTTTCTCACCCATACTACAGATCATTGAGCAAACTGCCAAACATTGGCCCAGACATGAAAAAGTATGAAGCAGTATTTCAAGAGGACACCTCAGGATGTCAATTATTTGACAATCATTCCAATCCCTTTTCTTATTGTTCATGTTCTCAAGGGAAAGTTTTTCATTATAAATTTTCCATTTACGTATCTTCAGAATATTTATTTCAGAGAGTGACTGTGAGATTGAAATTACAACATGTATGTGAATTTTAGAACACAGTGGCTGCATTTGTTTAGATTCAACTAATTTAGTACTCCATGCTACGTGAAAGTTGAAAAGCAGGGAAAAATGAACTAAGAACAGAAAAACTCTACCTAATCCTTAATGGATTTCCAAAATCCGAGAAATATCCTAAGTAATATTCAAAACAATCTGCCCCAGAAAGATCATAAAGTTCACCCATTGTTAAGCTATTTTCTATTATCAGGAAATTCTCACAAGGAAAAAAAGAATTGTCTGATTTGAAAAATATATAAAACATAATCCATTACCTTGCGACATGAAGGCACACAATTTGGTATTGCCAATGATGTTTCTATTAAAGAACAATTATCCTTGATAAATGCTACTCTGTAAAGATCCATCCAGGTAGTATTGCTAACCTAGGAGTAACAAGCTCATGGTTCCTCTGATATTTGTCTGTTGACTTGACTTAGAAGTGCATGAGAAATTTGAAAACAGTGTGAGGAAAACAGGGCTTTTCTCTTATCTTCTCCCTCCCTACCACCAAAAATATAGTCTCTGGGGGAATAGAGAACCCAGGAAATCTAGGAGTCACATAAAGGAAGCAATCAGATGGAATGGTCTTACCTTCTGAAAAGTTGCGAATATAACCAGAGGTATCTGCAGTTACAGCAGGAGGGGAGGTTTCTTCAGGAGCAGCTTAAGTTGGGAAGAAAATTTCCAGGTAAGACCTTGACTATTTTGCAGGGAACACAATTTCTCCCTCCCTGGAGTGGACCTACATTTTTCATCCTCAATTCATCTCTGCATCTGTCCTCAATTCTGTCATACCTGTAGCCTATCTTCCCACTTTTCACTTGCCTCATCTTCCCTGCACAGTCTCTGTTAGGACAGAAAGAATTTAGGATTACCCTCCAAGAGCAATGGCACTGACCAAAGACATAAGCAAGTACTTTCTCCCAGGCCTGGGCACAAAAGACCAAGTGCACATGTGGTGCTATCCACAGGACTACTCCCAGAGCAACGAGGGGATTCCTCCTGGCCTGACATTCTGATGCCGTCCACGGAGCAGCCTAGGACTGCATACGTGCCATTGAAGCATGAATGAGGACAAGCAGAGGGATAATTTCTAGTGTAAACGAAGAGGAAAATTAGGAAGATGTATCCTATCTTAGAGTCATATTTCCTATCTCAGCTGTAAAATACCTTCTCCCACCTTATAGCATGAAAAGAAGTCATATTGATCTCACACTTTGTGACAACTCCGAGGAGTTGTCACCTAGAGAGTCACATTTGATATAATGGGACAAATTGATACACTTCTGGCAAAAAGAATGAGCACATTTTATCTTTCCTGGACCTTACACTAGAGCTACTTTTTCTTGTTTGTGTACTCAACACTACTACTAAAATTCTAAGTCAGTCTGCATATCTCTGTTTCATCCTTTTCAGTGGCTTTCATAATTTACTCTAGTAATACCTGTTTATAGGGATTCAGATCATTTCAATTTTTGCCTTCATCCAATCATGAAATCATTGACATGCTTTTAAATGGAGCCCTATGTACAAAGGTTCTATTATCTATGTGATATACCTCTAGACATTTTTGAATCATATCATATGTATATATTTACTTTGATAGATGTTATCTAATTGGTTTCACAAAAGTCTCCAAGAATTAAAATAATAGAAACAAATTGTAAGAGCATATTTTTATGGCCATTTCTCTGCTATCAGTAAATGTCATCTCAATTTAATTATGCTAATCTGATAAGTTAAAAGCAATATTTGTTATATCAATTGCATTTTCTTGATTACAGTAAGTTTGAGCATATAGTATATATTAGACAACTTGAATTTCCAATTCCAAGCTTTGCATATTCTAATCTTTTTATCTATTTTGTTTCCTGACTTTAACCTTTTAAAGACCCAGCGTTTATAAGAAATATTAACATACTATCTTGTATAAAAATTACAGTCTCCAAACTAACATATATGTTTTAGTTTGCTCATACTATGTCATTAAATCTTTGAAATTCCAATAAAGCTATCACTTTTATTATAATTCCTATAGTGAAGCATGTGTAAGACATGCAACCAGGTCATCTTATACTGGTGACAACTTAACATTCCTCCATGTAAAGATCATATCTAATGTTAATCCCCAGATTTACCCAATGATCACAAACCTGTCTCTGGTCATCCCTGCACACGCCAGTCGGGAGCATATTAAAAAGGCAGACGGGACCTGAGAGGAAAGCAGCAAAGAAGCCCCGCCCTGAAGAGAGGTCTTAGCATCAGGGACTCAGTCCATCCAGACCTCTCACTGGTCGGCACGCACCACACAGAGGTGGGAGCACCTGCCGCAGTCCTGGATTGGGATGGGCAAGGACACATGGGTTTCAACAAAACAAGATACAACTGAACACAGACCAGCAATGGGATTAGATACTGAGTTTTTAGAAAAAGAATTGAGGTGAAGGGAAGTCCTGGGATAATGGGAGGCAAAATAGGATTTTGTGTTAGGACCAAAAGGTAAGATTTCTTCCCGCCATCACACCAAGAGAGGTGAGGCACACACAGGGCTGTGCAGTGAGTGTCCAGCATTAAAATCTGAATGTGTGCACCACACACAACATATAGACACAGTGTGTTTCTACTAATTATCAGTACATGGGACTTCTGCACATATAATTGCCAATCAATCTAAACTTAATTATTATGTCTTTAAGGAAGTCTTGAGTGGCCATTGAACTAAAGTAAGCCACAAATTGCAGGTATACAAGTTGATTCTACTTTCCTCATAAAACATCATTATCTGATATTTGCTTGTCTCTTTATTTTCTCTGATTGTTGGTTTTCTACCTCCCCTTTCAATAAATGAGTTCTATGAGTTAAAAAACAAAAAAAAAAAGTTGCTTTGTCCTACACCTAGCACACAAGATTTACAAGAGTGCCAAGCACCTAGTAAGTTCTTGATCATGTAAGTTAACTAGAAGAATCAATGAATGAATGAATGCAATTGAAATTCATAGAATAAGAATAAGACAGGCCAGGTGTGGTGGCTTACACCTGTAATCCTAGCACTCTGGGAGGTGGAGGCGGGTGAATTGCTTGAGGTCAGGAGTTCAAGACCGGCCAGGGCAAGAACCAGACCCTGTCTCTACTAAAAATAGAAACAAATTAATTGGCCAATTTAAAATATATAGAAAAAATTAGCCAGGCATTGTGGGGCACACCTGTAGTCCTAGCTACTTGGGAAGCTGAGGCAGAAGAATCGCTTGACCCAGAGTTTGAGGTTGCTGTTACCTAAGCTGACACCAGGGCACTCTAGCCCAAGCAACAAAGTAAGACACTGTCTCAAAATAAATAAATAAATAAATAAATAAATAAAATAAGACTAAGACAAAGAGGGAAGACTTTATCAAAGTATCGATGGGAGATTATAGGTCTCTGAAACATAAGAACTCAGCATGATGTGGATGAGATTGTGAAAGGTAAAAACGGAGACTATGATTGTGAGCTAGCATATAAAATAAGGAAGGTTCAGGCAGGCAAGAACCTTATTACCTGAATGAACTATGGAAGGAGTCAAACTCAATAATCTTATTTATTGTGAGAGGAACCTAGATATCAATACAGTTAAACAAAAAACACCATGTACTAGTAGGTAAAGGTAGGAGGTCCACACCCAAGTGAAGCACAATGATTATTCAGATGTCATTAGTACATCACACAAGTTACTTCCTGTAATGAAATCCATGTGCCCTGGTTCATTATTTTACTCTAAGGAAATGTCTTCCTTGAAGCAGAAGCTTGTTCCACCATTAGTTTTTCATAGTTAAGGAAAATAACTTCCAATCTTTCTCCTACTTATCCTTCTTTTCCTAGTACTCGGTCATCCAGCTCACTGCTATGTACCCATTTCCCAAGATCGCCCGTCTTCTTCCCACTAATGTGGAAGACTACTTCAAACTGGAAATACAGAATAAACCACAAAATACTCTTGCATGAAGTGATACAATCAGAAGAGTGACATTTCTCACTTCACTTTTCTTTTCCTGTCTCTATGAGACTATCACACTGATCCTTCTTCCTATAGTATTTGTTGCACTCTTTTCCATTTTCTGAATTTGCAGCTCTTCCTCTGTATCTAAATGTCTCCCTGTCTTTCTCATACTCAGTTGATTTATTGGTCCCATCAGCCTTTATCCCATCCCAAGCTTTGCTAACACACTTTCTTCTTTATTTACATAAATTTTGGAAGCTATATGCAACATTATCAGGCTTTCAAAACTCGTTTTCTGGAAAACTGAACATAATTTCACTCTGTGAGTCTCCTCACTAACACTTTGGGAAACATCCTTTCAAATATATTGTCAGGCTCCCCCAGAAATAATTAAAGGGAGCCTCCTTCCTCCTCCTGAACTCTCTCTACCCTCACACTTACCAAATCAGTCTTGGATGTTCTCCTAGCCCTTCTGGATGTTGACAACACTTATATTGCAATAATCCCTTTCCTGACATATTGGATCTGTACTGTTATAAGTTGGTGCCAGACTGACCTTGATACATTTAATAGAGCCTCCTTCTCTCTGCAGCTCACCTCCCTCTGCCCTAACACTTACTTTATCAGTCTTTGATCAGCACACTAGCTGGATATTTACTTTGCATATTGTGCAATGTTTATTCAGAAACTTACGTAAGCTTCTTACACATTCTGGTAGTTTATACCTGGCATAACTTGTGATCTATTCAACATTCTTGCCAAATAAAGCATTACAGTCTTTGACGAAATAAACTGATTTTGGGGTGTTTGGTATTCATGCAAAAACCTGTAGAACAAATCTTTTCAATAGATATTATTCACTATCCCTTAAGTAGAGCTCTAGCTGGGAATGCATAACTTGAAGTCAATTGTGAGAAATCATCAAACAATCCACAAATGAGGAATATTTCATTTATTAAAAATGGGGATGGAAATGTAGTCCTTAATTTGTCCATGTCATCAAACAGAAAGACAGCTTAAAAATTGTTGCAGAATAAAATAAACTTATATGAACTAAACAGTGTGATTTGTGTTAAGGATTTATCATTAGACTATGGAAAAAATAGAGAGGCAAGTTCACAAATATACAGTGATAAAATTTAAAACCAGGGTAAAGAAAAGATGGACCTTTAAAAGTGTGCTTATAGGCAAATTGGAGATTTATAGAGAAAACAATAAATACCACAACTTCACTTGATACACTAAAATGAACTCCAAATAGATACTTTACCTAAATAGTACATATAAAAGCTTATTTACAGGGGTTCTGAAGTTTAAGTGACTGTAGGGAACTGAGGGGTTGAGGTGGAAGGAAAAGCCTGGCAGGAACACAGGAATGAGGGTGTAGAGTTGAAGGGGGACATATTGACGTATTCAAGGGAGCTGAAGACAAGATCCAAGGTGGTGAGAGGATAAAGGGGCATCAGATGCAGTAAGAAGAGAGAATCCTTAGGGAGTCAGTTTGGGGAGATTATAATAAATTTCCTAAGAGACCAATCTAATTCCAATTTAGCTTCAGCAATATTCTGCCAACAAGAAGGAAGTAGACTGGTGTCGCATATAGTCAGAAGGAGTTCAAGAAGGGAGATTCAAGCAACTGAAAAGTTCCTGTAAGACAGACAGGAGAAAATAGAAAGAACAGAGAGTCCTCTCAAAGAACCAAGAAAATTGTATTGCTCAAGACAAATATCCAGGAAAAAAACTTCCAGCCCAAGAACTCCGGAATAATCCCCACTCAAGACAGAGAGCAAGACCCAGGAAGAGAGATTTCAGGCCCAGTAGGCTTTGAAACAATGAAGCCTAAACCTCTACCCCATCTCCTTTTACCTGGGACTCACCTAGTTTCTTATAAACAGTTGCTTATAACCTCTCTTCTTGCAAACAAAGAAACGTGGGACTCTAATGCAGTTTCTTGAGTATTCTCAGAATCTTAAGCATCAAAATCTGTCCTTATGAATTTCAATGAACTGTCATCCAGAGTAAGGGCTCAGGAATCGGACTCACCAAGGGATCACTGTTCAACCAGCCCAAATCGAAGTTAAACGATTGAAAGGCACACAGGTAAGGAAGAGAGACAGGGAATACGATGGTGACTCTGATTCTATTCAAGTCACAGACATCATAGCTATTAAAGAAAAAACTATATATGTTAAAGAATGGTAAAGTAGACTTTATTCAAGGGGGAATTATCGTGATGGGAATAAACACCATTGCAATGGATTTCACAACATTTAAAACGGAGGATACGCCATGAGCAAGCAGAAGTACTCCTAAGTATGCAAGGTTCCTTTAATATATAAAAGTCAATCAATGTGATTCATTATATTAAAGGAACAAAAGACACAAACCATGTGATAATAGCAGGAAAAGCATTTGAAAAAACCTATATCACTCATGATAAAAGAAAAAGCAACACTGAACATGATAGGAATAGAAGGAAACTTTCTCAAGCTCATAAAAGTCATATACAAAACACAAATCCCTAACAATATATTTAATTGTGAAAGACGGGATGCTTTTTCCTTAACAACAACAAAAAAAACATTCCCACTGTTGACACTTCTACTCATTGTTTTAGCGGGTCTAGAAAGGGTAATTTGGCAAGATTAAGAAATAGATGCTATCAATATAAGAAAGGACAAAGTAAAACCTCTATTTGCAGATGGCATGACATTGAATATATAAAATACTGAAGAATCCAGTAAAAAAAATTTAGAACTAATGAGCAAGTTCAGCAATGTTTCAAAATATGAAATCAATACTAAAAAATCAATTGTACTGATAAATACCATCAATGCAGAATCCAAAATGAAATTAAGAAAACCACTTCATTTATAATAACATCAAAAAGAATAAAATACTTAGGAATAAATTTAGCAAAAAAATTTTATTAGTTAATTTTTGGTGTAAATTTGACTGGATTAAGGAATATATAGAGAACTGATAAAGCATTATTTCTGATTGTGTCCGTGAGGGTGTTTTCAGAGGAGATTAACATATGAGCCAGTGGGCTGAATGGGAGAAGATCTACCCTCCAATATGGTTGGGTACCACCCAATTGGCTGGGAGCCCAGAAAGAATATAAAGGCAGAACAAAAGTAAATTCTCTTTTTTCTTTTCTTTCTTTCTTTTTTTGAGACGGAGTCTTACTCTGTTGCCCAGGTTAGACTGACAAGATGCCAGCCTAGCTTGCAGCAACCTCAAACTCCTGGGCTCCAGCAATCCTTCTGCCTCACCCTCCTTGTTAACTA